ACATCTTGTAAACACATCTTGTTTGCTTTTCTACTTCAAATTAAAAAAAAAAAACACAGGTCCTTTATAACAGTTCTCAAACATGAAATAGGAATGGGACTATTATTACCTAGGAATTTTCTCAAAAGATACATCTCAACCATAGCAAATAAATGGACCAGTTTCACTGTTATGGATTTCTCTACTACACGCAAAGGACTATGCATATACTGGGGAGTTCTCCAATCAGGCTACTGTAACCATGACAGTAGCTGATCTTCCCAGAGAGAGAAACTGAAATTAAAACAGCACCTAGGTCCCAGATTCAAAATAAATGGAGTTGTTATTTTCCATAATGGAACATTACAGGAAAGAAAAAGCAGCAGTCAGGTGTGAAAAGTTATCCTGAATAGAATACGGAATTAGCCATCAACAGATGAAAGCTAGGTCAAAGTTAAAGATCAAACCCATTCACTTCAGAACTAAAGAAATGTACTGTGATTTACAGCATATAATTAATACTGGTCACATAAGAAAGGCTTTCTATGAAATCTAGGAAATATAGATAGGAAGTACAAACACTAATATAATTCATTTGCAATGATTTGTCTAACAAAGTTACTAGATACTAGAGTTAGGACTTTTTTTTAGCAGTCAACTCAACTTTCTAATACAGCTGAGGGATTACATAGTTTCTGCCATTTCAAATAGATTCCTTAAAATTAGCTTATAAATTCCAAACATGTTTGATTCACTAAATGCATTTTAAGTGAGTTCTGTCTGCCACATGATGATAAAGACACATACAGACTGACCATAAATCACCACCTGATGAGCCTTGCTACTGACCGACAGGAAGCACCAAACTGTCTTTCCTGGACTCTCACAGTATTGTCACAGGTGGTACCAACAGGACAACAATGTTCTCATGGGCTATGAGGCTGAATTTAATTGTTCAATGAGAGGATTCTGCTGCCTCCTCCCCCTAGGGGCCAAAGTTTCCAAGTGCCATGTTCACCCTAAACAAACATTTAAGTGCCTACTATGTGCAAGGCACAGCCCAATGGTGGGGATGCAAGGAAAACAACTTCCTGACTTCAAGGAGCATTCTATGGAGTGGAAATAACACAAACACACAAAGTTAATACAAAATAAATTCTAAATAAATACAAAGTATGAGGCAGTGAAAGGAAGAGCAATTATAATTGGGGAAAAAATTAAGAAGCGGAGGAGATGAGGGGCCTCTCAGATTGAAGCTTGAAGGGACGTAAGAATTCAAAAAATTGTCATTGTAAAGGGACAGCACTTTATCCTATGCAAAAGTGGGGTTAGAAACCTTAGCTTACCAAGGAGTTAAGGAATGAACAGTGAGGAAGCAAGCAATGAGTATAGATAGCTTTGTCTATTATTCCATTAGATTCATCATATCACCGACAAATAGAAAAAGCAGGACCTGCTATCACAACTCTCAATCTATAGAGAACGAATAGGATCAAAAATTAAATCACTAACTAGCAACACCAGTAAAACAGCACTGGCCTCTTGATTTCTAGTTGACAGATGAACTAAAGTATTCTACCTCTAGGAATAAACAGTGCTGTGGCCATTCCTAGACTAGGCCCATAGGATGAAGTCTTGGAATCTCCCTCAGTGTATACACTGGCTTCAGCTCCTGGGGAGTCTAGAATTGTGACTGTAGGGGATGGAAGAGAACCAAATTAAAGTTTCCAGTCAAGACCATCTAAAATATTCAGTCCAATCACTCTCCTGACCTGCCCTCATATTTTACAAATGCCTTCTGGATATCTCTCTTTGGATGTGCTGCACCATGGCCCCTCAAGCTTTATGTGCTCAAAACTGAACTCTGAACTCATCTTTTCTCCCCAAAACTGTTCCTGCTCTGAACTTTCTTATTTCTGTTGGTATGGTACCATTTTTCCAGTTACCTTGGAAGAATGAAACTTTTGAAGATGTAAGTCACCTAAAATTCTTCCCTTCTCCCTCATCTTCTATTCCCAATCAGTTGCCAAACATTGTCCAATCTTACCTCCACATTCCTCACATCTATGCCATCTTCTTCATCCTGTTTATAGATCTGCAGTCAAAAGATCTGGGTTAGGGGGCAGCTAGGTAGCACAGTGGAGAGAGGACCGGCCCTGAAGTTAGGATGGACCTGAGTTCAAATCCGGCCTCAGACCAAACACCTGACACTTACTAGCTGTGTGACCCTGGGCAAGTCACTTAATCCCAATTCCCCCCCCCCCCAAAAGATCTGGGTTCAAATTCTGATTCTTTCATTATCTGTGTGATGCAAGTCACAAGCCCTCTCATAGTCTAATTTTCCTTATGAAGGGATCACCCTACAAGGGTTTAATCTGGGGTCCAGGAACTTTTTTTTTAATGTAATAATTATACTTCAACATAACTGGTTTCCTTTGTATTCTTATATCTCTTACTGTATGCATTTAAAAATATTTGAAAAGCGTTCTGTAAGTTTCACCAGATGGCCAAAAGGGGTACAAGAAACAAAAAAGGTTAAGATCATCCTGGCCTGGATGATCTCCACAGTACTAAGATTTTAGGATTCTAGTTTAGGGGTGCTCATTTTTCAATTAGACTATTATAACAGCCTTCTATTGTTCTTCCAATCTGCAATCTTCCTCCCTTTCCCATTCTCCCCCTTCCAACTGAATCTCATCAAAATCTATCTTCCTAATGTACAAGTCCCATACACTCTGTGATCTAGTGACATTGGCCTTCTTACACTTTCTTGGACACAAGACACTCCATCTCCTGATTTCGTGCATTTTCATTGGCTGTCCCCCCCAGCCTGGAATGCTTTCCCCTCCTGTCTCCTTTCCTGGTTTCCCTGGCTTCTTTAAAGTACCAGCTAAAATCCCAACTTCTTATAAGAAGCCTTTTCTTATCCTCTTTAATACTAATGTCTTCCCTCTGTAGACCATCTGCAGTTTATACTGTATATATCTTGTTTGTTCCTTGTCTCCCTGATGAGACCCTGAGCTTCCAGAACTGGGGCTGTTTTATTATTTTCCTTTGTATTCTCAGCACTTAGCACAGTGAAGGTGCTTGATAAATGCCTGTCTACTTGCCTTTGGAGACAGGTTGTACTTTCCAAATTCTACACAATTGTGATTCTCCCGCCAGTTGAATTCCTTCTTTCCTTCCCTTCAAGGCTCAACTCTGGTGTGACCTTCACAAACCCTCACCTTGCCTAAAACACTTTGTCTGAATCTTTCATTCCCGGACCCCCCCCCCCCATTATTTCCAACCTTGTAACATACCTGTATATTTTGCTACCTTCCCCACTTCCCATCTCCAACAGCCTGTAAACTCCTGGAGGGCAGAACTGAGACTGTACTTTCCAAATTCCACACAAGTGGGATGCACTCTTATTCTCCAATCAGTAGAATTCCCTCTCCCTACAAGGCTCAACTTAGGTGTGGCCTTCCCTAAAATTCTGAAAGAAGCATTTTGCTTCTTTCATTCTCCACTCTCCATCACTCCCAAGAGAAACTAAGCTGCTGCATCGGGACTCTGGAAGACCCGAGTGCAAATTCAATCTCAGTCACTTCCTAGCTGTGTGACCTGGGCGAGTCACTTGACCCTGTTTACCTCAGTTTCTTCATCTATAAAATGAGCTGGAGAAAGAAATGGCAAATAACTCCTGTATCTTTGCCAAGAAAACCCCAAATGGGTCACGAAAAGTCGGACACGATTGAAGGCACTCAACATCATTCCCAATGTTGTAATATACTGTGTGTATCCTGCTGACCTCTGCATCCCGCAGTGGCCTGTAACCTCCTGGAGGGCAGAACTGAAACTGTGCTTTCCCAATTACACACAATTGGGATGCATTCCCAGTCTCCACCCAGTTGAATTCCTTCTCTCCCTACAAGGCCCGGCCAGGTGCGACTCGCTCCCCAAACCATTCCTGAGGCTTCTCAGTATAAAGTTATTCCTCCAGTGTCCCATTAACTTCTAGTGCTTGGTTAACCCCTCCCCCATCACTCCCCGCCTAGTAATATATTATTCATCAAGAGAATATATACAGTACAAAGCCACAATCCCTCCGTGGAGTGGAAGCTCCCGGAGGGCAGCCGCTCACGTCACTTCTCTCAAGTGTCTCTAATACCCAATGTCCCGCACCTACGAGGCGAAGAATGAGGAAGAAAATTGGAGGTCCGACGCCAGGGTGAGATACCTCCGCCTCCCCACCCCCACCCTCACAAGGGGTGTTCGGTTGGATTAAATCAACGCAGGTAAATGGCCCCGGGGAAATGGCGGCCGTGACTCATACGAGGGGAGCCCGAGCCCACGGGCCACTAGGGATTTAGGGGGAGGGGCAGGACACACCACCACGTATCCTAGCAACGCCGCACCAAGCCACGGCTTCCTCCCCACTCCCTGCCTCCAACCCTAGCGAGCCAACCGCGCTCTCCATCGCCCAGAGTAGACCACCTTCATCTCTTAGGCTCACACTGTGTCCATCACGCCTGCCCCCCCCCCAACAGTGCGGAGGAGAGAAGGGAGTGTCGGGAGTCCTGTGGAACCGATGAGGACAGAGAGGGGTCTGGCCCTGTACGCCAGGTCGGACCGAACCACCTGAGGAAACATAGGTGGGGAGCATCATTAATAGAAAGAGGAAGCTTGAGTCTCAGACCTCAACCCGCCCCGAAATTTACCTTTCGGCGTATCCGCTAAAAATACGGTCAATCTCTTCACCTCCCTTCTCTTTTCTTTATCCCACTACCCGTCTCCTGTTTGCTCCCACCTAACCACGCTGTGGTTCGGCCCAGTTCCGCCTAGGCGATTTCCTCTCTACCCGCTCCCCCGCGGGGTAGAGGAGGTGAGAAGGTCGGGCCGTTGCCCTTACTTGGCGACGGCTTCGCACGTTTCTGCGTGCGTCACTCCGCAGTCCGCCCTCTTGCTCCCTTGGCCCTCCCTCCCAGAGCCGCGGGGTTACCGGAAGTGATGATGCAGGAGGAGATGGAGGAGGCGGGGCCTCCGGGCGACCGCCGCTGGTGGTGTTGCAGATGAGGAGGAGGCGGCTGCGGTGTTGGAAGAGGAGGAGGCGGCGGCGGCGGTGGTGTGGGGAACTGGAACGCGAGCGGAGATGGTAGGTGGTTTGGACCCTCCGGGCTGCCGTCGTTTCCAGAAAGGGTTTGGCTGGCTGGGCTGGAGGAGCCTCAGGAGCAGCTGTGAGTTGGGTGGAGTGAGGAGGGGGAGTAGTGAGGTAAAGCTGAGGGGGGGGGCGGGTATGGGGTGGGGAAATGGGTCGACGACTGGTCCGAACTGTTCACCCTGGAGGTGGCTGTGAGGAGAGCGTTGTGTCTAGTCACCTGGTGCTCGGGAAACTTACCTTTTACTCATCCCCTTCTTCAGATTACCCCCACCAGCCCCCACCCTAAGGCTTTGGGCGGGGTGGGGGGGATGGGGAAAGGGGGACGGGACCATTTGGGGTGGGGTGTGTGTCAGGGAACTGGAGCTGCGGGATAAATGTGCCCCAGGTAAGAGCATTGGGGTCTGTGCCTCAGTGGGGGGTGGGGGTGGATGAATTCTCCAGTCTCGACCTCCTCCCCACCTCCGAACTCTATTCGTAAGCTGTTCCTAGTGTTAAGGAGCTTGGACCCGAAGGCCTCTCAGCACCTTTGCAGTAAATGATAAACATCTGTGCCTAGGATAATGGGACTGGAGTCTTTGCCTATATCCTGTGTAGGAAATGAGATGTGGTGACAAATATTATGTCGGCTTTTTTTTTTCCATTCCCATTCTTTTCCACTATGATCCCATGATCCTAGCTAATGTGTCTGGGTGACTATCGTTATTATTTTATAAAATGACACTGTTAGCCTGGTGCCAGTAGTCAACCTTTTTCAAATTTGGTGTTTAGCCTTTGGTTTTAATCACTCAGAACTGCAAGCTTTGTACCAGCGGTCATAAGCTCAGTCACACAGGGAGCATCACTCAGTGCCTAATTGCTTCAGATTATAATGAATACTTATTCATTTGGAAAAAATCTGACCTCAAGGTTTCAGAGTTAGGGTGATTCCTTATCCCGTGCAAGGATTTAAGTGGCATCTTAGTCCAATAATCAAAGTCTGGTCTAAATACTTTGTATATGAAGAATTTACACCTTGTCAATTATTTCTAGAATGATTTGGTGTTTTTCTAATTCTAGATTCTCTTTCTCTCCACCCACACTTGGTGATGCACTTCAGAGAGCAGAAAACCCCATATTACTTTTTTTGTTTCCACAATTGGACAACAGCTCGTTATTTTTTTTTAATGTGTTTGGCACACAAGACTTTTAAGGCACATAGAGCATATGCTGATTTTTTAAAATTTTATTTATTTAGATGTGTACATAGCTAATCTTAAATCTGGTTTTGTTTTGGAGAGGGGAAGCGCTAACTTATGTGAAAATAAAAAATAGATGTAAAGGCTTCTGTTGGTATCTTACTGTATTAAAGAGAAAATAAATGAGGATGTAGTGCCTTCATTTGGATTTTGGAGTGAGGTGCTAGCCTCAACTATTTAAAAATTCCTATTTTGACACTAACATTGTATTCATCTGGAAATATGAACTGTGTTTTTGGAAGACTTTAAGAATCTGTGGCCAAACTTCTTGCTATTTTGATTGAAACATTTATCCATTTAACTATATGCTTCTGTTATAGGACTTGGGCACCATATTTTTTTTTAATCTACATCTATGTATAATATCTTCCTGATGAAGGGGATCCTACCCCCAAATCAAGTCACAAAGGTTTTTGTAGCTATAATAGTATTGTGCCTCTAGTCATAAAGTACTGTATTAGATACTGTGAAGAAACATGGCAAAGGAATGACAGAAATCTGGAGGAGGGGTTTGAACCATAATTTATGTGAATATAGAGTGTTTTGTTTAGTCTGGATAAAATAAATAAGCAGTCAGGATAGTGAAATGTGACAAGTTCTCTTATATATTTCCATTATACTCCATCATTGCTCAGACAGGCTTTTTGACTTTTAATTAATTTTTTCTTTTGGACTGTTTTGGACTGTTATCAGAGACTAATCCTTTGATGAGGGTTAAGTTAGAAGTAGAAGTCACCTTGGTTTTTTGTAGCTGATGAGTCTTCCATTCTTCATAATTAAAATTCAGTAGGATGTTAATTTATATAGTCTTTTTGTTAAGTCAGGTGTTTATATAGAATTTGCTGCTATTTTAAATTATGAAAAACCGATATGCCTCCTAGTATAGGAATTCTTGACAGCTATTGTATAATTTTGTAATAGTATTTTTCCAAGTAATATGTGCTGTTTTAAAATACTTATAAAGTATAGAAAGATGGCACTACTGACTTATCATCAAGAAGATTGGTGCTCCAAGAATTGGCTTTCTTTTTGGAATGAGAATGGTTCAGTGTTGACACAGTCTCATAGTCTTCACCAGGCACCTTTGTAACTGAGGGACATAATACCTAGGCAACACATATGTTTCAGTATTCTGCTGGATTAAAGGCAGGGATGTGCTGGAGCAAGCTTGGACTCAATGTAAGAACATTTACACCTTGGAAATTGGCAAATGATACAAATCAGGGCTTGATTGATTGTTTTAGACTTAAAGTGATAGAGAAAATGTTAGTATTGCAGATTAAATTTAGAAGTGTGTTGTGAGTACATTTTTCCCCCACAAGAGAACTGGTTGTTAAACATTTACCAGCATACCACTGACTAAAGGAGATCTTTTAGGAAATGAATCACCTGTGCTAGAGGTCCAAACTGTGTCAGTGGAAGAGCAAAGTTAATTGCCCAGTTTGGGGCTTGAGCTAGAAAGGCAACATGGTATATAGTATGTGGGACTTGGAGTGAAGAACACCTAGGTTTGAATTCTGCCTGCTACACTTGCTAGTTGTGTCATTGTGGACAAGTTATTTAACCCCATTTGAGCCTATCTGTAAAATGGGGTTAAGAATACCAGTAGTAGCCACTGAACAAGTGAGATAATCTATGTAAAGAACTTCATAGGCCTTAAAGAGCTATATAAAAGCCAGCTATTATTACTAGTTATCATTGGAACCCATGACACTTAACCTCTTGAATACCATTCTTTTGACCATATGAAACTATTAGCCAGATATCTACCTTTTCCTTTTGAGATCACTAATTTCTCATAACTTTATGTTTTGGGCTCAACAAAACAGTCCATTAAAAAGAGGCTTCTATGATCCTTCTTATTGAACTAAAGTACAGAGACATGTAATTGGAATTACGTATCTCTTATCTTTGAAACATATCTTCACTGGAGGCCTTCTCTCAATACCTTATGCAGTGGAGGTGCTTCTGCTTTCTCAAAAGCTGTGCCATAGGAGCATGGACTGTGACATTTCCTACAAAGCTGAAAGGCTTCAGGTAGAGACCCCCACCACCAAATGTTTGTCCTGACAATAACAGCATAGCTGGGTTTAGAGAGGCTCCTTACGAGCTTGGCTCTTTAATGATGAATTTTTCTATTAGTTGTAAAGATGTCTGATTTGAGAGATTTTGATACCTCTGTAGCAGGAGTAACTCACTCATTGGATCTTTCAAGTATTAAAAAAAAAAACGGTGAAAAGTATTCTGGGGTATAATGGTCTGTTGCCCTGTAGAATGCTGAAAAGTACAAATGTTGTTTAGGTATTTGTACCATCACACAGAATATCACAAATGCTCATTTAAACCTTTTAGTGTTTCGGAAATTGTGTACCATTTTCAAGTGCTATTATTTTGGTAGGTTTTACTGATTATATGCCAGAAGCTCCAGATTGTCCCAAGCACGAAAACCTTTTGGATGACAGGAGGAGTATGAGTCTTTGCTGAATCTAATGAATATATATATACACATATTACCTTGCAAATTACAAAAGTGAATAATTAATACCATGCAAACAATTCAGTTTTTCCCCCCTTGTTCCATAGAGTAGGTCATTCTGAGAAGTGGAGAATTTGTATTGATATGGCTTTTTTGGCTTTGGCCCAGGTTAAAGAATTTTGACTTACTCTATATGCTAATGATGCACTTAAAATGCTCTTTCCAGTGGGCTGTCAGGCTTTCCACTATTCATCCTTATTTCAATGGTTTATTATAACTCAAGTATGAAAATATCCTGTGGGTTGAAATTTCATCAGTCACTTTAGAGACTGGTGGCTTTTTTTCTTTCACATTAAAAAAAGTGGAAAAAAGTGTTAGATACTGAAGCCAGTGGTATCTAAATTGGTTAGTTGTGTTTTAGAAATGAACCTTGCACCTATCTACATGAATTTTAATTCCAAGTTTTTATTTTCTGTCCAAGTTGCCAATGGATATGTTTCTTAAACTCTGGGGGCCTTCTGGGGAAAAAAAAAAAACCAAAAACAAAAAAACCCCCAAAAATTCTTGAAGTAATGGGAGACTCAACAGGGCAGTTTAGGCCACTGGACTATTGGAGTTGTGATTAAGTGGTTTTAAATTTCATCAGATGACTTAAAATTTAATCTGATTTTGATGTTGTTTTTGATTTACATGCTGTGGCAAGGAGAGTTAATTGCTTACTGACTGTTGGTTGTTTTGAGGTGAGGACATGGTAACTCAGATGAAACAATGGTAATTACATGGTAACTCCTGTTACCCTGTCTCTTGATAACTTACAATTACCTCTATGTATTTGTTTACTGATGTTGAGCTAACTAGTTGAGTACCAGTTCTCCATGAAATTCGTGAAAATGTTCAATAGCCTTTTGTACAACATAACAGAATGTTTATATAAGCAGCCGTTTCTTCAGTGCAAAACTTGAACCAGTCAGTTCTCATGTTGTTCTTCCCAAGTGGTAGGTAAGAAGAACACTTTTTTTCTTTTTTGGAGGCAGTGATGGGCAGGGAAGTCAGTTGTCTTATATTATTTGATATCTTAATTAGTAGCTCCCAGGTAGTGTGGTAGAGTAGATAGAGCTTACTTTGGAATATGGAAGAGGCCCACCCTTAATATGTATTAGCTTTGTGATTTGAGCAAATTGCTTAGTTTCTCTGTGCCCTAAGCTATATAACTTGCAGGGCTTATATACCTTGATATAGAGGAAGTTTACTATTGGGAAGTCCTTATACCAGTGAAATCGCAAGTTGGGTCCAGTTAGTCAATAATTACAAAATAAGGCTTACACCAAAATTTATTTCAGTGGTGAAGTGGTAGTTTGAAAGTTCCCAAAATTTAGCCTGGAATCATATACACCTAACTGAGAAGATACTGGGAGGAGAGGAAGCTCTTTAGGATTGTGCATAGATGTGAGTTTAGCTGAAAGGAAACACCTCTAGCATCCTTGTTCTGCAGAGATGAAATATAAAGCTACTCTTTAGTTGTTACTGAGTAAAGTGCTTGTGACCACCATCTACCGCTACCCTGATGCTACTTTGATTACTTGAGAAGGTTGAGCTTGTGTTAATGACCCATTCTTCCTTTTAAAGGCTTTGACTCTACTTATTCAGCTACACTGTCCAGTGCTTTAGCCTTGCCATATTGTGTTATTTTGGATTGAATTGCAGCATTGCCTAAGGAACCTTGATCTTACAACCCTGTGAATTCTGTCCATCTATTTCATCTATTTTCTTCAAGATTTCGACTCTAGGATCACTGTGATCATAAATTCATTCTACTGTTTTCTGTTGTAGGCCCATTCCAAGCTTGGTACCAGACTTGAGTGAGATTAGACAACATTTTTATGTAGTTAGTATTTAGCACTTGTACTTTTTCACTAGTGTTTAATACTTTACTGCTACTGTGTTCTGCTAGTCAGCCCACCTGATTGTATGTACTGATTGTTAATGTATTTTAAATACCTCCTCATCTAGTAGTGCATCATCTTTGTGTCAAGATAGCAGAGTTGTGGTAGCTTTTAGCTCTCTGCAATTAATGAATGTTTTTGGCTGGGTGTGCATTGTTTGCCTAAAGTGGGATGGTATGTGACCTATCATTTTGAGTCTATACAGGCCTTGAGTCACAGCTTTTATAATGTTGATTGCATTTCCTATATATACAGTTTAGGAAGAAGGAAAAATAGATACTTAAATTTTGCCCATAAACTTCTTCCAGGCTTCTGGTTTCCTGTTTATTCCTACCTTGCTAAATTTTGATTCTTTATTTTGGAATTTGTCAGTTCCCATAAATGTTTTGGAGGTAAAGGCCTTTTGTAATATGTAAAAAAAAAAAAAAAAGTGATTATTTCACATGACGAGACAATTATCTTCTTTGACAATGGAACAAATGTTTAGGTTGTAAATGAGAGAGAAATGTTCTAAATATTTACAAAATTTGGGGGAAGATGAACAACTAGATTATATTAATTAGGAATTAAGGCATTATTTCACGTTCTTAAGTGAAGTTAATTGGAAAGCTACAGAGAATATTATTTTAAAATGCTCAGACTCAGTGTCTCTTCTCAGTGACCTTCCCTTATATCTGAATTATATATGTAGTCATATGAATGTGGTCTAAATGGAGAGACATATGACATTGTAGAGTTAGCAGAGTAGGTTTAAAGCAGGGGATGTTGTTCAGAGAGCTGCGTTTTGCTTAGCTTCTCTGTGCACTCTGATGTGAAATGAAGCCTAGGCCTCTGGTCTCAAGGCCGCAGGTTCCCCACCCCTGGCCTAGGCCATTTGATACAACCATTTTCCCAGCTATGGTAATATTTTGCTCCTTTTAAGCAGAGGAACAGTTTGGTAATAAAGAATGACACTGGATAATGTTCCTTGGATGAAATAGACTGAATCTTTAAGTGAATGATTTCTAGGGCTATCTTTCCCATAAAGTGGTTTTCCTTTGAAGCAAGTAGTTAATTGTCTGATCAGATATGTACTGTCTTTTTGAAAAGATGAAGTCAGCATGTTTTACTCACAGTAGAAAAGAGCCTAACTTGGGGTTGCCAGTCTTTGCAATTCAACAAATATTTATTAGGCACCTATTACACAATGCTGGATGATGGGAGCCAGGAAGGGACTATAAAAGTGAAAAAGGTCTGTGTTATCATTATCCTTATTCATATGGAGTTTACAATCTAGTAGATTTTTTTTTTAGTAGATTATCTTTCTGCAGAACCTATTGTTATTTCTCTCAAGTCTTAAGGTCAGCAGTAAATAATGAAAGGGGGAATGGCGGAAAATGTTACTGAGAGGTAGGGGTGTGGAAGAGGAGTGTGATGGCTGATACTGGGAAGGGTCAGGTAAAAGGTTGTTGGTGGATGCTCTTTAACTGAGCATAGAGGGTAGGACTTGTAAGTGAACACAAACTATGTCCCCTTTTAGAGTTGAAATGCCTTTGAGCCATGGGGAGGAAAGACAACTTCCAGTCTTGTGGTTGACTAGGTTGATCTTCAAGACTGACTGGTTAATCAGGACTTAATGGTTAGGAGAGGTCATCTAATTTTTCAGAGATCTTTGTTTCTGGGTTCTATGACTTAGTACTGAAGCAATAATATTTACTGACTGTTGCTTCAGTACTAAGTAATAGTAAATTCAATAAATACTAGTGAATGAAATGTTTCTGAATCTAAATTGTAACTTAGGTTTGAGCACTTTGTGGTGCTAACACTAGGTATGACTGTTGTTGGTTCAGTGTGACCTGCCCTGAATGAAAAGTACATTTTAAAAATGTACTGTTGGCTTCTCTCTCCTCCAGAGAAGTTATTTCATAGAAAAATGTATATACTCATATGTATGTATACAACTTTATTCTTATATTCTGCTGGAATATAAGAACTAAGTACCACATCTTTGTAGCTTTATTGTGAATAAATTTAAGACAATGAAGTTTTTATTTCTTAAAAATCACAAACTGCTTGACTTGCTCATGGGCAGTCATACTGTGATTAGTTAACTCATTAGTTATAACTTCCCTTTCTCTCTTTATTTTTGTTTTAACAGGTGCCCTTGGTTCTGCTCAGTAGGGTCAGAGTTCCAACTAGTGCTGCAGACACCCAGCATGTGCTGACCTGGTGACAACCATAGTCACCATAATTAGTGATTAGATATCACTCAACAAAGTGGCTTCTAAGAGAAAAGTAAGTAGGTTTTAAGAGGGTAGGATGGGGAACAGGGGAAAGAAGGAAGCTATTCTTTTAATATCCTTAATACTCTTCAAATTTGATTTGGATGGTGGACATCTACTCTGATTTGTTTCAATCTACTCGTCCAGATGCTACAGACTGAATGAGCTTCAGGTTCCAAAGCGCAAGCTCCAAAACTTGAAATCAGTATTGGAAGGCATCCCAAAATTTGATCATTTCTTCACCTCCTGGTGGAACTTCAAGAGGTCCTAGCTCTATGTTTTGCTGTCCTAGCTGCTAAACTTATTTACACCATTATCAGGGACACACTTTTGCTTCTAAATAACTCTGAAAGGGCCTTGGTTGAATAGTAATCTGGTGAGGTGTTCCCAGTAACACATCATAGGTTGTCAGCTTTTTTTGTGTGCATGTGAGGCAATCAGGGTTAAGTGACTTGCCCAAGGTCACACAGCTAGTACATGTCAAGTGTTTGGTCTGAGGCTGGATTTGAACTCAGTTCCTCCTGACTTCAGGGCTGATGCTCTATCCACTGCGCCACCTAGCTGTCCCTGGTTGTCAGCTTTTATAAGGTATTCTGCTGGCTTTGTGTTTTATCATGTTTCATAGTTATGTAATGCAGTAGTATGTACCCAATGGGCTCCAGTTGTTAATGGTTTGAAGGTAAAACCCTGCCCACTAGGCATCTTAAATGTGTGTAAGTGACTAATTGAAACTTACTGTGCATTTCCAGTTCTTTGTGGAGATGAAAAATTCACACAGGACCTTTATTACAAGGCCTTATAGAATTTGAACAAGGGTGTTGGGAGATAGGTTGCTGGGCATGGAAAACTGATCCAGGGGACATAGTTAGTTGGACATAACCATGTGATGTTTTGGGGAGTAAATACCGGGATAGATTCTATAACATCAGTCTTACCTGCTCTAACAGTTTCATAGTGAGTCAATTGGCTAGCTCCATATTGTTGTTACTCCCTCTCAGAGGAAGCTAAGAGCCTGACTCCGAGTAAGTTGAAAGGGACAGGTTTACTTCCATATGAAGTTAGCTCATTAATGTATACTCTTGGAGGACAGAGACTTTTTTGATGTGGCCTGGTGTGGTAGAATGAGCCCTGGCCTTAGAGTCAAAAGACTCAGGTATGAATTCTGTTTCAGCTACTTACTGAGTGACCATGGGCAGGTCATTTAACCTCTCTGAGCCCCAGTTTTCTCTTCTGTAAAGTGATACTACCTTTCTCACAAGTTTTTGTGAAGAAAATGTTTTGTAAATTTTAATACACTATATAAATATGAATAGTTAATAATTCATGATTATTGTGAGTACTCTTTATGTTGTAAAGTGCCATATGAGAAAGGTGTCATTACTTTAATGCTTAGCAAAGCAGGTAGTATAGAGACACATCCAAGTAAACAGTCTTTTTCATGATGACTAATAAAAGGAAAGTTCCAGAATGTATGAATATTATTGCTTAAACCAACCCAAATTGACCCAAACTTTAAGTTTGTTTTTGCATTCTTGGAGGAGATGTTAGTAAATAGGTTATTAAAATGAGTAACCAACACTAGATCCTATGATTTTTGGAGATATTCATTAAAATCTGTTCCAGATTGTTTTTGCAACTTTTTCATTGCAACAGAACTTCCATTTATCACTGTTGTCCTTCACCCTTTAATGTAGTGGCTACCTCTCAGTTAGAGACATAATGGATAGAGAGCCAGCTTCAGAGTCAGGAGGACCTGAGTTGAGTTCTGGCTGTATGTTCCTGGGCAAGGTCCTTAACTTCTCAGTGCGCTAAGCAACTTCAGAGCAGGTGTCAATCTATCTTAGTTACACCAGTGAAATCACAAGTCGAGACTGAAAAAAAGAAATGCTCATGCTGAGAAGGGAACATGCAGCTAGCAATCATGAGCCTAATCAAGAGTTTGAATTGAGGATCCTGGAAGAGTCAAGGATCAATACAAGCTGGCATGTTGCCCCTCACCATGCCACTCCCAAAGACACTGAGTCTCATTCTATTTAATGTTACTTTTCATTTCTTATTTTGTTTCTTGTAGCCCAAAACTTTGGATGAGATGCAGACATGAGTAGTAGTGGAACTGATGTAAGATTGTTGTGGGAAAGGGTTTCTTTTTTAGTTAGCCCTGAGATTAAAAACCAGAATCTCAACTGAGTTACTGCTTCCAGATGAAAAAATATACTTTCTAATTAAAACATTACTATTGCTTCTTCAACATTTTTTTTTGCAGATCTTATACTGTAGTATTTCACTATATGTGTATTTGTTTATTGATCTTTTTTCAGCTAATCTTGTTCTGTAATTAATTCAGCATGAAAGACTGTAGGGCTAATCGTTTTCTTGTAATAAAAATGTAATGTGTTTTCATATTACAAAAATGTTTTCCAATCTCTTTTCTCTTACTGCCACTTTTATTGTGGTAGTTGTCTTTGCTTAGATTAGTTTTAAAAAGAACAAAGTAGTGTCTTTTTTATTTTAGCCTCTGTCACACCTTATCAATAGCACAATCCAAAATTTTGCCCTTCCATTTTGTTTAATGTCATGCCTAGACATGATCTTTTAATGAGAAACTGTCATACATTTCCAGATTGTGGTCTATACTTGTGTGTTAAAGTTTGAAAAGTAATGATCTGTCATCTCACATTAAGTGTCATCTGATATTTAGATCAACTGTTCTGCTAAGAAGTTTTCTGAGATGTTGGAGATTGGTAGATAAGGATCTCTTGATCAAAGCTCTGTTATGCAAAATTAAAGTTCTACTTTTCATTTCTGATTTTGCTTACATTTCTATTTGGATTATGTACTTCATGAGTTCTAGCAGATTCTGAAAATATTAACTTCAGTTGAAACAAACAAATTCTACTACTTTCAAAAAAGTAGTCGGTTGGAAATTTCAGGGAAGACTGGACTTGCTGGATCACTTCATTGTGGCACTTGTCTTTTTCCATTTCATTTGTGAAGTTAATTCTGTCAAGAACAGATAAATTATCCAATGTGGGGAGTGTTACAATTGTTGTCATTTTATAAGTTTGGTTTTGCAAAATTAGTAACCCATGAGGGTGTTTGTTTAGTTTCTAGAGAGTTGGCCTGCAATTAGGATAAGCTGCCATTGGGTATAAATAGTGGTGCCTTGGTTATTACCCTGTGATCTGGACAGCTAGCAAGCTTTCTATAGGCATTAAGTCAAAGAATATCACATTTTCCTTCTCAATTATGCTTATTAAAGTTTATTGTAAAAAAACTTCATGAAAATCGCATTTATTATGTCATGATTGTCATTTTGCATGTGAAACAAATATTTATGTGCCCAGGGAATAAATGTGCCACATGTTTTCTTGCTACTTTATAATGGAATCATAGCTACCATTCATATAAAAAATCAAGTCAGAACTTTATGGGGGGAAAATTGATGATGGTTCATTTCTAGGTTTTTGTTTTTAAAGTTTTAGTTTGGTAGTGGTTTTTTGTTTTGTTTTGTTTTCTAAAGAGAGAATAGATTTGGAGCTCAAAGGGAACTTAAAGGTAAATTAGCCCAACCCCTTCATTTTACAGATAAGGAAACTGAACCCTATAGAATTGAAGTGACTTGGCTATGGTCACCCAGGTACCAAATCAGCACTTTTTCCACTGAATCATTCTAAATGATTTTTTTCTCTGCCTTGAATACTTAGTCTGGTTTTAAAAGAAAGTGAGATGGTACAATGAAAAGATTTTACCTTTCTGCTTGAGTCCTGCTTGGTAATTATATTTCCCTTCGATAAGCCTGTTGCATTGAACAGTTCACTAGTGAGTGCCATTTAGAATGGTCTCTCAGTCTGGTCATCATTGTCTGTGTTGAACCTTCCTATATTGTTTGTTTGTAGTGTTTAACTTCTTAGGAAGCCTCCTTCTCAGTGTCTCTTTTTGATTTTTGCTTTGATGTGAATGTTTGTTAATCAGAAATTGGTGTGTGAAATCCAGAGCTACTTCAGTTAACGATTTGTTAATAGTTTTGGTGTTAAAACTAATTTAATTCCTAAAAGTGAAGCATAGTTTCAAAGTTACTTCTATAAATAGCCTGAAAAATAGGTTTATTACTTTTTCCACTTTGTAAAGTACTACTACAATTTCACTTGTCTAGGATTACTGCCCCTGGTCCACAGTTCAGACATATGTATGAGAGAAATCAGTTTGATTTCATTTAGCATTGATTAAGGGGACTTCTTTTTAAATCAGTAGAAGATGGCCATGTTTAAATAATCTTTCACTGTTTTGTACTTCATGGAGAAGTCACATTATCTATTCTCTCCCCTTCACCTCCTAGTTTTCCCAAGCAATTTGTAATCAACTTCAACTTATAATCTTCAATGTATTGTGTTAAAGTAAGTTTCTAATTTTGTCTGGTTTTTTTTCTGCCTTAAGCCTAAAACTGGAAGTGATATTTATAAAATGTCCTACGTGAGTAAAAAAGTTGCACGTGTTTTGAGTTGTTCTCTACCCTGAATCTTTCACTGGAGTTAGGGCTGAGGAACAGTAGCTGATTTTTTGAGATGGTTAAAGCACAGGCAGAGAATATCATCCCTGTGAGCCCTCCAAGGTGAAAGTTTCTTTGTATTTTCATGGCAAGTATTTAGGTCTACTTGGATATCTAGGTCCCGAATTACAACTTTACTTCCAGATTTCCCTAAACCATCATTTCAGGTCAGTTGTCTTCACTTCTTGGTCTTGCTTAGAAGAACTAGAAGAATGACAGTCAGCTCACTTTATCCTTCTTAACAAGATACATGTTTAATTCCAAGTTAAAAGCCACTTTGTCATCAAATGAGTTTTATGAAATAGCATACAAACATGAGATTGAATACTAGAAGAATAATACATACTGTGCTTATCATTAACTTTGCTTTCATCTTTTAACACTTTAAATCTTTTTTTAAAAAAAGCAGTACTCTTACCTACTGTAACTGTTATTTTGCTTCATCTTCAAATGCATTAAACATGTGA